AATTAGGCAAGACAACTCACTTTCAAAGTAGCTCAACTCTTAGAACTTGGTTTGTACCAATCCTTGAACTACAAACAATTCAAACCACTGGGTCATGTTCAGTCAATAAGTTAAAACTATAAGGATCAAATGGTCATAAGGGCAGCAGTGAAAACCAAATCCTATTTACCAAAGGAGTGGGATTAAGAAAATCATTTAGTGTATTCTGTACAGAATGGTTTACCGAGGAAGCATATTTTCATTATGGCTCTAGGATGGAAGCGCTTCAGAGTCCCCAGCCCATTCCCACAGATGAAAGCCCCAGTGGCAATGACAGTACCAGGAAACCTAGCCTCCCGCCCGCCCACCCCGCTCCCATAACCGTGCTGGGTGGCTGTGGTCCAGTCGCCCTCGTTCCCAAGCTGCAGAGGAACCGGCTGTGGCTCACTCCAGTACATCCAACACCTGGCAGAGTGGGCAGAGAGAGAGAGCCCTTGTGGTGGGTCACAGCCAACCAGGCTGATAAGGGTACGGCATGTCTTCTGCCCAACGCTCCGTGGCGCCGTTTGCTTCAAGGGAAGACCTTGGGACCTGGATAGGGCTCTCCCTCGCACCAGAAGTCATCAGCCTGAGGGGTTTCCAGGAGCCACACCTCTCGGGGCAGGTCACTGGCCGAGCCAGAGGCCTCCTTGGGCCTGACAGGTTCCAGCACCCGGTAATAGTGGCAGTCACGGCCATCGTCCGGGTCGTAGGGTGGGGCCAGGATGTCCAGAAAGGCAGCGGGTCCGTCCACCGCGTCGATCTGGTGCAGGTTGTCCCGGTGAGGGGTGAGGATGCAGGGGCCGCTGGCTTCAGTGTACTCAGCCCGAGAGCGCAAAACTCCGGGCCGCGCAGCTTCCCGCTCTCGGGCCTGCAGCGGCGGCTCGAACTGCTGCTCTGGCGGCAGGGCCCGTGGTCGTTGCCCGCTGCCCGCCTCCAACTTGTCCATGCAGCTGATGCGCACGGTGCCGTAGAGGACCTTGAGCATACAGTGCATGCCAGGGTGGTCGTGGAGCAGGATGGACGTGCCGCTCTTGAGCAGGAAAACGCCAAGGCTGAAGCCGTCAGTCTCGTATATATGCATGTAGGTGACCGGCGGTAGGTTGGGCGACAGCGGTTGCAGCGTGGCCTTACGCGGACCTGGGTCAGCAGGCTCTTCAGCTTGCTCAGGTTTTCAGGGAAGCCAGGAGGCATAGGCGCCTCCGGGCTAGACGCCGAGCCAAGGTCAGAAGCTCTGCGGCCACCCCCGCTGCCCCAGGAAGGTGAGGCACGCCTGGCGGGCGATCCGTTGGATCAGGGAAGCCATGTTGTCTCGGGGCATGCTCGGCTGTTCTTCCGTTTGCCGGGACCGGCTCCCTCCTTTCCTCCGACCTTTGCGGTCCTCGGCGGCCGCCACGGTGGCTAGCAGCCCTAGGTGAGGCGGGAGGCCCCGCAATGATCGGCCCGTCCGGCGCGCCGGCCGCCGCCAACCTCAGCAGTCACGCTTGAAATGATATTTTAATATATCAAGGTTAGTAGAGCTCAAGTAGAAATAAGGATTTT